AATCGGTGGCTGACTAAATACTTTTTTTGCTCCACTGTAACTACAAACTGGCTAATCATTCCTTACCTGTCAGTTATAAATGTGATATTTTACAATTTCCTCATTAAATCATTAATAATCAGTCGTCTTGTGTTATTTTTAATGTAAATGTCAACTTAGACACCAATAATTAAAATATGGCACCATTAACTGATTTTCTATTTGACAGATCTCATGAAGGGATTGATTTATATGTATTTATATCTTTCATAAACAAATTCCTGTTTTATTGAATAATCACTGAATCTCCAAATATGTCACTCATAAAGTCTCAGAGAAACACAAGACTGCCAATTGTGTGACTTGGCAGGTTTAGGAAGTTACCAAGCTGATTAAGGTGAGACTGTTGAGCTTCTATTAGCTAGATTATTGGTACCCAACTGCTGCATTTAAGACTCTTAATGGTGTAAAAATAGAAGTTTATGCATTTTCTCAGTTTGCTTTGTTACATTCATTAAATATAATGTGATTTCCTCCAGGAGAGAAAAAAGATCATCGTAATATCAGCTGGTTTTATTCAAATAAATATAAGATAAATATAAAAATGTATGGAAATTATGAAATGAAATGTCTGGAGACATTCATTTAAGACCATACCGTATCATACCATGTTGCATTGTGTCGTATCTCATTATTGCATCTCATCTCATCTCAACATTTCTCATCTCATGTCAACGTTTCTCATCTCATCTCATCTCATCTCAACATTTCTAATCTCATCTCAACGTTTCTCATCTCATCTCATCTCATCTCATCTCAACGTTTCTCATCTCATCTCATCTCATCTCAACGTTTCTCATATCATCTCATCTCAACGTTTCTCATCTCATCTCATCTCAACGTTTCTCATCTCATCTCATCTCATCTCATCTCATCTCATCTCATGTCATCTCAACGTTTCTCATCTCATCTCATCTCAACGTTTCTCATCTCATCTCATCTCATCTCAACGTTTCTCATCTCATCTCAACATTTCTCATCTCAGCGTTTTTCGTCTAATCTAATCTCATCTCATCTCAACATTTCTCATCTCATCTCATCTAAATGTTTTTCACCTAATCTCATCTCATCTCATCTCATCTCAACATTTCTCATCTCATCTCATCTCATCTCATCTCAACATTTCTCATCTCATCTCATCTCATCTCATCTCAATGTTTTTCATCTAATCTCATCTCATCATCTCATCTCATCTCATCTCAACATTTCTCATCTCATCTCATCTCATCTCATCTCAATGTTTTTCATCTAATCTCATCTCATCATCTCATCTCATCTCAACGTTTCTCATCTCATCTCAACGTTTCTCATCTCATCTCAACGTTTCTCATCTCATCTCATCTAATCTCAACGTTTCTCATCTCATCTCATCTCATCTCAACATTTCTCATCTCATCTCAACGTTTCTCATCTCATCTCATCTCAACGTTTCTCATCTCACCTCATCTCATCTCATCTCAACGTTTCTCATCTCACCTCATCTCAATGTTTCTCATCTCATCTCATCTCATCTCATCTCATCTCATCTCATCTCAACGTTTCTCATCTCACCTCATCTCAACGTTTCTCATCTCATCTCATCTCATCTCAATGTTTCTCATCTCATCTCACCTCATCTCATCTCAACGTTTCTCATCTCATCTCATCTCATATCATCTCATCTCAACGTTTCTCATCTCATCTCACCTCATCTCAACGTTTCTCATCTCATCTCATCTCATCTCATCTCAACGTTTCTCATCTCATCTCACCTCATCTCATCTCATGCAATTAGCATGTTCTCCTCATGTATGCAATCCTTCAGGTTCTCTAGTCACGTGCATGCTGGTTGACTGGTGACTTTAAATTGTCCCTGTAGGTTTGAGTGAGTGTGTGAGTAGTTGTCGCTGTGTGTTCCTGTGAGGAACAGGGTGTCCCTTGCCTCCTGTCTGATGGCTGCTGGAATTAGACACCAAACCCTACGGAGCACCAAAGACTGAGCCTACTGGTATTTGATCAAAATAAAAAAATAATGATGTAGCGTTTTGGATGTCTCTACATACAAAATTAAAATGATTGAACTGGCCATGAGATACTACCTGGGTCTGCAAGTTAGACGTTCCACGTCTGAGGCTGTAGTGTTGGATATCTCTCTCGAGCATTGCAGAGAGGACTTGAGTTTGAGTCAAAAGAGAGGTCGGCTCCAAATGCTTGCTCATCCGGTCGGCCGAACCAGGAGGCGGTGGAGAAGTGTTGTTGACAAATTTAGACAAATCAGAATTTGACAAGTTTAAAAGGCGTTACCAAGTCCCTCAGAGAATCACTCCCTCACTCAGATACTCAGAGGTTAGCTCTTAGTGTGAAGTGAAAATGTTCAACATTAGCAATAATATTATTGTGTTCATACTGATAGATTCAATTATTAATTAAACAATTACTGATCGGGTGTAATTTAAGATCTGAAATGAATCAATACAGGAAAAATATTCACTTTAACCCATCGTTCATCAATGTAATGTATGTATTGTTCAAACACTTTGAATTTAAACAAATTGTTCATTCAACAAAATATGATCATAATAAGTTTTGAAGTAATTTATGCCAGGGAAGATAGGTTTTATTCAGACAGAAGACGATAAGAAGTGCTGCGTCTTGAAGCCTTGAGGACTCATGACGCACACAGGATGCTAAGAATGTTGGCTCAAGTTCATCTCTTCATATCTGCACCACGGTGTCAGTTTGACTTGTATGAAGGTGTTGACCTGAAAGTTAAAAGTGAACTTCTGGTCATTTTGATGGAATACTTGGCCTTTTGGTATGCTACAACGATGATAAAAGTATTTCTTTCATGACAACCCAAAGCACAAAGCAGTAACAAGCAACCAACCAAAGACCTTCAGGTGTTTCAAACGGTGGTCTTTATTTGTTGTCATGAAACGACAAACCGTCGCACGCATGTCACATTCCTTTTCCTTGTTATCGCCACCACATCCCTGCCTATTGCAACATGTATTATTTAAATTTCATATATATATATATAGATATATATATATAAATATGTATATTTATATAATTTTTACAATATACATGTTCTCATCAAAGAAAGAAATTGCAAAATTGGATCCCAATGTGGATTCAAACTATCCCATGCATGTTTCCACTGCATCTAGGGGAAATAATGTGAATTACCACGAAACAATACGCAGGATAGTAAACTCTCAGACAAAAAAAGGGCGGGTGTTTGGACTAAAGCGGCTGCACAGAGCAGCACATTCTCAACAACAACAAACAGAGAGCCATGCAAACCGACAATTCCTCCACAGCTTTGACCCAGTTCGAATCAAAAAGTGCAAAAAAACAGGGCAAGCTAGTCAGTCTTTTGCTACTGGCAAAACATCGAGACTAAGAAAAACTGATGAAGCATAAAGCATTGGAGTTTATTGCACTCAGGTGCCGTTGGACCACAAAAAAGACACGCAACTCAGGCTCACTGGTTGAAAACACTTTGATTGTGTGTGAGGCTACAGTAACACTGGCACAAAAAGTGCTTGACATCATCATCGTGAACCCTTTTAGCTCCGCAGAGTCAAAACGGTTTGCATCTTTGAGTTACATCTCACGTTTAAACAATGCATTCAAATATGGGTTAATGCAGGAAGTCATTTATGTTATCAACACACATAAAAAGCTCTTTAAAGGGTGAAAGAAATCAAAAATACATCGTGATCTGTTGCAAGAAATGACACCAAAAATATACCTGCATACTACTTATTACTCTTATTTTATTCCTAACTTTTTCAGCTCACATTTCTACTTTAGCTCCTCACAATCAAATGGAAATATTGCTCGATATGATGCATTTTTTAAACAATCATTTTACTTTTATAGAACAAAATAACTGCTGAGTGTAAAATAAATATAAAGCGCTATGCATGTAGTTAAGAAAATAAAATTGTAGTATAATATCTGCATCTATTTACAGAGCCTAATTATAAATATTCTCTGATATTTCTTTATATATCTGTGACTGGGCCAAACATGTCAGTAATCGTGAGCGTGCTAGTGTTTGAGAAGCTGTTGGATGGAGAAGCAAACACTAAAACATGACAACATTGAGACGTTTGCATCCAACGCCGTTGAAAACAGGAGGAATGCTTTTGGTCTGTTGCTGGATTGGAAAACAAACAACAAAAATTGCACATTTTCTCAGTTTGCTTTGATACATTCATCAAATATAATGTGATTTCCTCCAGGAGAGAGAAAAGGTCATCGTAACGTTAGCTGGTTTGATTCAAATACAATTGAAAAGCATGAAAAATATGAACTCTGAGCATTTAAATAAAACGTCTGGAGATATTATTTTAGTTTAAGTGTGACCTGACGTGCCCGATGCAATCAGGCGTTTATAAAATAGTAATTAAATAGAATTAATTACTGCACACTTTCAGCACCGAGGCTCAGACACAAACACCTGAGACGTCGCTTCTGCTGCATAAGACGCATCTAAACCTCCAGCTTCCGATCGCTCCGTGAACTGGAACCAGTTCTGATCTCAGCCTGGCAGATGGAGACCATCAAGCACCCAACTGTTCCACTTTCCTGGTGAATTGTCAAGAGTTTAAGAAAAACGTTTGCTTAAGATGACATTGTTTCTTTTATTTAATTATTTTTTTAAACATCTGCCCAGCAACCAGAGCTTTATTTTGGGACATCAACCACAGCAGTTCTTTACTTCTTCCCATGGACGTAATTTGGGGGGGGGGGGGGGGGGGGACAGGGGGGACATGTCCCCCCCACTTTGTCCAAAGTCAAGTTTTGACCCCTGCACTTTTTACCATCCGAAAACAATATTACGCAATATTAAATTGATACTGGTTGAGCTCTAGGACCAACCGGAAAACAACTATTTGTGTTGAAGCCTGTTTCCCATTAGCGCATACTGTAAAGATCCAACCCCCCCCCCCCCCCCCCGTGTCCCCCCCCCCCACTTCTAAAGTGAAAATTACGTCCATGCTTCTTCCTCGACCAAACCTTTTTTTGTTTGTTTCAGATGTTTTTGGAGAGGTCGGTTTAACATCTGTACTCGGATTGGATCGAGGGCTGGCAGCCATGCTGCCCCTCAGTGAAAAGGTTGTAGGTTCAAATCCCACCTGCAGCCTTTCTGCGTGAAGTTAGCATGTTCTCCCCATGGACGTGTGGGTTTTCTCTAAATTCTCTGGTTTCCTCCCACAGACTAAAATCATGCATGTCAAGTCAACTGGAGACTCCCTGTAATGGACTGGACCTGTCCAGGGTGTCCCCTGCCTCTTGCCCAATGGCCGATGAGGAATAATCTGATAGGAAGACGCGCGAGCGAGTGAGATTGGATCAAATTACAAGTGTAATCTAGATGAGCATCGCCACTCTGCTCACAGACTAACAGATTCCAGGTCTTAAGGACTCCTCCGCTAAACTCAGCGCAGGCCGTCATGCGTCTCCCCATCCATTGGAATGTTTCAGAGGTACAGACACTTCAACGGGAACCATCGACGTCCCACTCCGCCCCACGCTGTACACAAAAGAGCACGCCTAAAGCAAAAACACGGGGGTCATACAAACAGATTAAAACATGCAACGTTGCATACCAGGACACACAGCAGGGAGCACGTTCAGTGGTGCCATCGGCCAAGCAGGTGTGGGAGGATTCTATACATCCGTTTACAAAAAAAGAGAACAGGAGCAACCAGTTTGATGAATCATATTTACACGTTGTTTTTCCTTTCGGACAAAGCCCCTGCTGTCGCTCTCCGAACCCTGCTCTGATGGGCGCAGATAGAAATTGAATAAGCAGCGATTTCATTTGCTTTCTGGTAAAAAAAAAAAAAAAAGAGGTCCATGAAGTAAGCTATGCATAAAAAGCAACACAATGGCAGCTCAGTTGGGAGGTGTCATGCAGAAAAGAAGGTTATCACAAGTTAATTTCCCAGTTGGACATCTGTCAGCATAGAGCGGGCGCGTTTGTTTGACTCAGCACCGCAGCAGCGGAAGTTCCTGTGATCAGATTGGCTCCTGCACACGGCAGATAACACAGTGAAGCATGTCCAACAGAACGAAGGTTAGAGAAGTCCACCTACAGAGTCTGCCTCGTGGCATTGCTACGAACCACTTCGAATGGGTCGCCGGAGCCGCTTCAGGCCTGCAGGCCGTCTCCGGAGAGAGCCTCAAAGCTGCAACCGGCTCTCTTTTCTCAGTGGAAAAGGTCAATTATGCATTTCATGCATGTGTTTTATGTGAAATGCATCGGTTTCAGTTTTAGTGAACAGTGGGAGTGGACGGGAATTAAAGCAAAACAATAAAACAGAGTCACACACATTAAAGGGAATTCCTAGAATAAAAACCTCTAGAGCTCTGCTTCACAAGTGGGACCAGGACAGGTGGACGGGGTTGGAGATGGCGGGTCTGCATTTTTCTGAAAGTGGGGTTACATCGATGCTGCGGCTGGATCGGAGGGCTCTGGAGGGTGAAGGATGTCACACCACAGAGCCCTTAGAGGTGGACAGGTGGATGGAGTGGATGCGAGTGGCCAACGTCTTCTCCAGGTCATGGAGGATGTCGGAGCAGATGCCGGGACTGGAGGCGGGGCTCTCAGCGGGGGGAGGTTCGTACAGAAGCTGCTTGAAGTTGTCGAGTTCAATCAGCAGCACCATGTTCTTCAGGAAGTAGCCCTCGATGAAAGCCGTTAGCTCCGAAGCACCAAGGAACTACGTGGAGAAAGGAAACATGAAGTCATAAATCACTTTCTTCTACCTGCTTCTTTCCCTAAACGACCAGAATTTAATGGGACACGTGTTGTATTGTTTATGGAATACTTTATATTGTATAAACAACTTTATGGAAGCCTCTATCTGCCAAAAAAAAAACCTCATTTGTTATATGCCAGTTTCAGGACCATCATTATTACGACTTTAAAAGTTCAAAGACATAATAATGATGTTTTACTCTGTTGTGATGCTAAAAACACTAATTATGAATAGAAAAATTGACAGAAGACAATTTTACCACCTAGAAGAAAAAAATGTACATGATGAGACATTCTGACTTTAAAAGTCAGTTAAAAGTTTTGACCTCGAAGGTAATTCCTTTGACTTTTGAGGTGTTAACAGACGTTATCAACAGTAAATATGAGTTTTAGACATAAAGATATGGTTATATTCACTATTATGATTGTAAAGGTGATAATTATGACTTTTAAAATCAAAATAATGAAGTCTTTTTTATGGAAGTCCATTGCAGCCAACTAAAGGAAAATAGCTCACAATTTTGACTCCAACTCATTCACAGATATACAGATGTGGACAGAACTGTTGGTACCCTTCAGCCGACGAAAGATAGGCAGAAATAACTTGAATCTGAAAAAAGTCATATTTAAAAATTCTATGAAATTTCACAGATAAAGTCAGACATTGTTTTTTCAACCGCGCTTTAATAGAATTATTAAAAAAATGGACTAATGCAACAGGCAGGGGAGGATTGAGGTGTACAGGGGCCCATAGGCTTCACTTGTTCAGAACAGAAAATGCTTGATCGAAGCGAAATATTCTTATCCTATATTCTTATCTGCAGATATTTATTTTAATTAGGGCTGTCAAACAACTAAAAATGTTAATCTAACTAATCATAAGGTATTTGTGAATTAACAATGATTTACCAAAATTTTCTGGCATTTTCATCCATTTCACCCCAGCAGCAGGATCCGGGTTTAAGTTAGCATCCACCATCAGCGTCACCTGGCGAGGACCTTCTGCCGTCAGAAACTACTTGAAGCAGGTCTATCTCTGCCCCCAAGCGGACAATATCAGCTTCTCTGTGACTGCTCGTTCCCTCCTTTGAGCTAGCATCATTAACCTCTGCCGCTCCAGCTAGCATAGCTCCGTTGCCTTCATCGTGAACGTCTGGCTTTTCTATAACCTGCTGTTGGGTCCAGCAGCGGGTTTAAAATATCCTGACAATTTTGGGATTCTCTGCAGAAGATTTTTGTGCTTTTGTTCTTTGATTCTCTCCGTTTTTCTTTTCTGAGCGCTGCTCTCATATTTTCTTTCTGGCATTTTTTTTCATTTTCCCTCGTTAAGTGCAGCAGCCTATCATACATGAATATGACGTGTCATGTGACACATTACTTAACTCGAGACCGCCACAATGTTTACCCAATCGGTGTCGCTTATGATTTTGTCGACCAATACAGTTGAAGAATATTCTTGCATGTAAATTTAAATAAAATCATATGTTTTTAGCTGAGTTTCCTCCGTAGGGTGGCCGGGCTCAGCCTTAGAGATAGGGTGAGGAGCTCGGACATTCGGGAGGGACTCGGAGTAGAACCGCTGCTCCTCCGGATCGAAAGGAGCCAGTTGAGGTGGTTTGGGCATCTGGTCAGGATGCCTCCTGGACGCCTCCCCGGGGAGGTGTTTCGGGCATGTCCTGCCGGCAGAAGGCCCCCGGGTCGACCCAGGACACGTTGGAGAGGTTACATCTCCAATCTGGTCCGGGAACGCCTTGGGGTCCTGCCGGAGGAGCTGGTGGACAAGGCCGGGGAGAGGACGGCCTGGAGCTCCCTAGTTGGGATGCTGCCCCCGCGACCCGGACCCGGATAAGCGGAGGAAGACGAGACGAGAGACGAGTTTTTAGCTGGCCAATGGGGGCCCCAGAACACACGTGGGCCCCTAGGCTTAAGCCTAATCAAGCCTGTGCATTAATCCGGGCCTGGCAACAGGCCTGGGCAAGAATGATGGTACCCCTAACTTAATATTTGTCAGGATCTGGGGTGAGTCAGCACCATTCTGTTCATTATGCCTCAAGTCTCTGCAGGTGGGCGGTTCCGGAGAGCGGCCAGCTGCAGGCTCTTCCTAATCAATCGGTTCAGCGTTTATAAGGAGCTGAGAGATCGCTTCACTTTTCGGATGATTACTCACTTTGGGTAGCTCTCGCCAACTTGAGATAACGATAGCCACGGTCCTTGTTTTTGTGCCCACTTTAGTAATTGCTGTTGAATTTACTCCGCCTTGTCCTCGCCAGGAACTCTCGCCTCAGACCACCTCTGCTATAGCCTGGACATCACCTTCGAGTCAGATCTCCCTCCACGCCTGGACCGACCCGCTCTCCCACCGCTCACCCCCATTGGATTTTGGATTACCACAGACGCTGCTCACCCCAGTCCTGCCTGCCCTCCCAAGCTCCAGGATTTCTGCCCACAGTAAGAACCACAGAGACTGAGTCCTCCTAGTTCTGTTCCTCTCTGCCCAACCCCTCGCCAGTGTTTATCTCTACAGACCCAGTCCCGGAGCTGTGCTCAGCGTCACCACCATGTCTGGCGGTGCACCCTCAGTTGCCTTTTAATAAATATTTGTCTTCTCCTTACCTACGTCTCCTCGTTTGATTCTGCACGTCTTGGGTCAGGAAACTCCCCGCAGTCATGACAATATTTTGTTGTACAACCTTTTGAGGTTTTGGATCATTGTTATGTTGCAAGACCCATGACCTGCGACTGACACCAAGCTTTCTGACACCCGCCAGCACATTTCTCTCTAGAATCCCTTGATAGTCTTGAGATTTCATTGTACCGTGCACAGATTCAAGACACCTTGTGCCAGGTGCAGCAAAGGAGCCCAGAACATAACACGGCCTCCTCTATGTTTCACAGTAGGGACGGTGTACCTTTGTTGTTATGCTTCATTTTTCTGTCTGTGACCATAGATCTGGTGTGCCTTGGTAAATAAAAGCTCCATTTTTGTCTCATCTGTCCAGAGGACATTCTCCCAGAAGCTTACCCTTGGCCAGACCTGCACTCACTGAGCTCCTCAGGGCAGTTCCTATAACCTCATGATGCTCATTTGCTCTGACATGCATTGTGAGCTGTAAGGTTTTATAAAGACAGGTGTGTGGCTTTCCTAATCAGCATAATCCAACACATTCTCACTCCCAACGCGTCAAAAACAATCGCTTGGTCAGCCACCCTCCGCGTCAGACCCCTGACGCTAAAAGTGCCCTTTTTATATTCAAACACAGCTGGACTTCAGTGAAGGTGTAGGACCCTCTGAAGGATGACCAGAAGAAATGGAAAGCACCTGAGTTAAATATATGAGTGTCACATTCTGTGTTTTGCTGTCAGTGCTGTGTGTACGTCAATGAGGAAAAAATTAATTAAAGTGATTTTAGCAAATGGCTGCTGTATATTAACAAAGTGAAATATTGAAGGTCTGAATGCTTTCTGTACTCACTGTGTGTGAATAAATACATATCCATATATTTGCTTTTTGCTTGTGAAGCGACTTGGGGTAATCATAATGCAAATAAATTCTCTTTATAAACATCATGAGTTAAAACCAGCCTTATGTAACTTTAAAAACCTTAAAAACAACATTTTATAGAAGCCCATTTCTGCCACTTAAAAGAGAAAAAGAAGATGTGTCAGAATTGTGACTTTCTAAGCTTCAGAAGCATAATTATAAGATCTGATTTTTAACCTCCTGAGACCCAAACTTGTATTTGAGCACACTTAAAAGACAAAAGCACTTCTTGTCATGTTCTGTGTCCCCTTGGTCCCCAGCCCCCTCCTGTTCTCCCTCAGGTTCTCCTCAAGTGTCCTTGTGTTCCCCAGCTCCCTCTAGGCTTTCCTCATGTTTTCCTCCTAGTCACTCCCTTGTAATTCCCATTTGTTTGCATTAGTCCTCCTCACCCCTCTAGTTATTAGTTGTTTATTTCTGCACCTAGTTCTAGGTTTATTTATTTAGTGTCTTATAGGATATGGTTATCTTCCCCTCTGCTTGGTTCTTCCCTTCCCATTTAGTTAATTGATTTCACCAGTCCTCCCTCTAGACCTCACTCCTCACACTTGTTCCCCTGATTGCTCCCCTCTGTGTTAAAAACCCTGTCTTGTCCCTCAGTGTTTGTTGGTTCATTGTCGTATGTGTCTACGTTGCTCGTTCCCCTCTTGAGTTTTCCCGAGTCTGTGCTCATGTGTGAGCTTTTGTTTGTTTTTGAGTTTTCAGTGAGCTTTTGAAAATTGGTCTAATTATTTCCCTCACTCGACCAGAAAAGGGCGGCTTGCCAACTCCGGGTCGGGGGAGAGGTCCTACCTCAAGTGGAGGAGTTTAAGTATCTCGGGGTCTTGTTCACGAGTGAGGGTAGGAGGGATCGGGAGATCGACAGGCGGATCGGCTCGGCGTCTGCAGTGATGCAGACGCTGAGCCGATCTGTCGTGGTGAAGAGGGAGCTAAGCCAGAAAGCCAGGCTCTCGATTTACCGGTCGATCTACGTCCCAATCCTCACCTATGGTCATGAGCTTTGGGTAATGACCGAAAGAACGAGATCGCGGATACAAGCGGCCGAAATGAGTTTCCTCTGTAGGGTGGCCGGGCTCAGCCTTAGAGATAGGGTGAGGAGCTCGGACATTTGGGAGGGACTCGGAGTAGAACCGCTGCTCCTCCGGATCGAAAGGAGTCAGTTGAGGTGGTTTGGGCATCTGGTCAGGATGCCTCCTGGACGCCTCCCTGGGGAGGTGTTTCGGGCATGTCCTGCCGGCTGGAGGCCCCCGGGTCGACCCAGGACACGTTGGAGAGGTTACATCTCCAATCTGGTCCGGGAACGCCTTGGGGTGCTGCTGGAGGAGCTGGTGGAGGTGGCCGGGGAGAGGACGGTCTGGAGCTCCCTAGTTGGGATGCTGCCCCCGCGACCCGGACCCGGATAAGCGGAGGAAGACGACGACGAGTCTTATTATTTGTGCTTTGGATTTCGGCACATCCTCCTTTAATAAAGGAATTGTTTTCTTTAAACCTCTCCTGCCTCGAGTCGTTCTGGGGATTTCTGCACCTTGGGTCCAACCTCCTACACTTGGCGTGACACTTCTAGCTATTACAGATTAGTCTACTCTCATTAACAGAAACAAAATTACAAATATTAAAATAAAACTAAGATTCAATTAAATGAAAATATTGTCAAATTTCCTAAAAAAAAAAAAAAGAAAACAAAAAAATTTGGAACTTAAAAATGGTAAATAGCCTGTATTTGATATAGCGCCTTCTAGAGTCCTGGAACCCCCCAAGGCGCTTTACAACACAACCAGTCATTCACCCATTCACACACACATTCACACACTGGTGGGGATGAGCTACAATGTAGCCACAGCTGCCCTGGGGCGCACTGACAGAGGCGAGGCTGCCGAGCACTGGCGCCACCGGTCCCTCCGACCACCACCAGCAGGCAATGTGGGTTAAGTGTCTTGCCCAAGGACACAACGACAGCGACAGACTGAGCGGGGCTCGAACCTGCAACCTTCCGATTGCGGGGCGAGCACTTAACTCCTGTGCCACCGTCGCCCCTTAAAGTGAATATCAAGCTGTATGTGGACACAGGGCCCTGGCAGGTCAAGCCATGACTCTTAGCTAATCTACATGCAACTTGTGTCCGCAATCCCAACAGAAACGCTCAGAAACATCAGACCTGAGACGTCTCCTCACCTTGGCGTGTTTGTAAAGGTCCACGCAGGTTTCCGTGGTGATGTTCTTGGTGCAGATGATCTCACAGTGTCTCTGAAGGGCCTCTAGTTGGAAGAACTTGGCTGCAGACAGGAGCTGCAGAAACAGAAGAGCAGAACAGAATGAGAAACAGGATGTGGCTTAGAGCGAGGCGGCTGCTCCGCAGGCATCCAGGGTCTCTTACCTCCATCACTTCAGTGTTGCGTATGTGCAGAGACTCGGTGCCGCCGCAGTACAGATACTGCATGACCAGCTGTAAGATGCACCGGGAACAGAGCTTAGATCAAGAATCCTTCTTTTGGGATAAAAAAGCATCCTGAAGTTTTTTCTAACTAGTGACGGCTACAAACAAATGTAATGTTTTGTGTTTTCAGCAAATAGGTTCAAATGAAATATTGGTCTGAAGAAGGGATTTGGAGAAATGGGAAAAAAAGGCAAAAGGACAATATTCAAACAAGAGATAAGGACAGGTTTGTTGGCTAATTCATTTTCAAATGTTCTTTAGAAGAAATGTTAAAACTTAACTGCCTTTTCCTTTTAGTAAAACTGTTCCAGTTTATTTTAGACACACTTAGTTACAGCAGTCATGAAATATTCTGGTTCTGTTGAAATGAAGAAGAAAGCAAATGAAAAACTCCGGCTTCTCTGTTTAGTTTGAATCTGCAGCTATTTCCCATGAAAGCAGCTTAATCTCTTATGTTTTATGCATTTTTTTTAATATTATTCTGGTTCATTTGTTTGTGTTTTTGCTCCCCCGTCCCACCCGGTCCTGATTTCTAACCCTCATGCCTGCAGCTGGATTTTTGGGATTTTTAGCAGCTTCTTGACAGACTTTTATTGCTCTGATCCTGTGTTGTTTCACAAATCCCAGATCTTGTTCACCTCAGTATTTTTTGGGGGGGGAAACCAACAAGTTTTATTTCTTCGGCCTGCCTGTCAGACGCCTGCTCGTCCCGTTTTCCGGTCTCTCCCTCATCCACCCGCAGAAACCTGCAGCTCAGCTCCAAACAACAAGAGGAAGGAAAAGCTACCTCACCTGAGTGATTTGGTTGATTTCTGATGCAGAGCCGGGTCCAGGACTTTTAAAATGGGGTGGCCCATGTGGGGCACTTGTTTATGCATGGGTGGCACCAATGGTTATGCTTATTTATTTATTTACACAATTTATTTATTTATTTATTTATTTATTTATTTTCTTTCTAGTGAATTTTGGAGTTTCACATTGCACAATCACCATTTTTTTCTATTAATCTTCTAGTTTTGTGGTGGTTAGCAAGTCACTTCTTTGTTGCATTATTGCCACCAACTGGAGTTGAGTGGGACTCAATACTATTTATGTGAATATGAAAAAATAATAAATAATATTAATACTACAGAACTGTTCTGTAGGCCTGGGCTAGAAGACAATGTTAAAGGTTCATGCTACCACACACTATTTTTGGAGTTTACAACCCAAGCCTTTTGTCGACAATGTAGTCAATTTAAACTGAAACTTCGTAGGGTGGTACCTGGGGTGGCCAATCAGATTCTAAGGGTGGCATGTGCTACCCCAGGCCACTCCCTGGACACGCCCCTGTTCTGATGACTACGTGTATTTACCTGCAGTGTGATTCATAGTCAGTACAAAACCACAAACGGAGAAAGGAAACCTTAAAAATACTCGTGCAAGGTAATGTATGATTATAAAATTTTAACTAAGTGAATTCAAAAAACTAAATAAAAGTGAAGACTTAAAACAGTCTACGTTTGTTTTCTTGTTTTTTTTCCTCTTTATGTTCTTTTATCTCTCTCCTTAAATGCCATTTTAATCTTTAATCTTTACATATTTTTTAGTTTTGAGTCTAAAAATCAGCTGTTGGACTGTTTTTATTCACATAAAGTAAAATTCAAGCCAAAACATGAAGATTTTTTTTTACAAGCTGTCACTTTGACTCCTTAAAGAGCAAGTCACCCCCTACCAGAGTATTACTCCGCTCCCACGTCCTGTTTGAAAAATGCAACAAATGCTGTTGCCTAACAGGCCGAGAGGGCGGAGCCGCTAACATACACACAAACACAGGCTCACAACGACATTGTGACATCATATGGTACCAGCTAACATTCTAGGGTAGCTCTTAGCCAATAGCGATGGCAGATTTGAATTCAAATGCAGTGCAGAGTTTTTACCTGACAATGGCACAACACTGACAGTTTTAGGCAGAAAATTAAAATTTTTACTAAAATGCACCGACGTGCAAAACTATTGACTACACGTGTCTGCAGCACGATTAGACACACATTTCTATAGTTTATCAGAAAAAAATGTTGATTTGGGGGCGACTTGCTCTTTAAATTGTTGAAAAACCGTGAAAGCTTGTTTGCATTCAGTGATGTCCAGCACTAAAATGAAAATCTGAAAGATTCTCACGTGGAAAATGTTGTACTTAACGTGGCTGATCTCGATGCAGGTGTTTTCTGCTGCCGGTCTGTTCTGGAGCAGAGACTTGAACCTGCAGAGCATCACATGAAGTGAACTTTTTAACCACTTTAAAATAAATGAAAACACACGCAGGTGTGTTCTAAACGACCGCAAGCTGCTCCCATCACCTGGGTGAAGCTGTGAACAGCAACACCTTGTGTGCATAAAACGGTTTCCCCTCCACCAGGAAGGTGACGTCAGACATCTCCTTGTTGTTCAGGAAGTGCGGGTCTGTAACAAGAGCAGCAACAAAATATCATCACTGCAAAAATACAGAATAACAGAGAGCTGCCTCGTTTGTGACGTTAAACAGACAGTAGGTGGTGCTGCAGCCCGCTTCCTGCACATTTCTCAGCTTTTTCCATAATCAGTTTAGAACTGTTCATTTCCAAGAATAATTCATAATTAAATGAATAAATGCAGGTCTGATCCAGGGAAGTGCCAGACAATCAGGTGGATAAATTAAATTAATGCCAGTCTTCTTCATTTAATGGATTTTGGTGAAGTATTAGACTGGAAAAGATGCTTGTAGAGGGATAAAAATGACATAAAAATTGAAAATTGAATGAGATATGACCTTGAAAAGGTTATTTATAACACATTTCTTTTATGATTATATAACTTATTTTTACCCTTTTAATCTCCTTGTTATTTATTTTTCCATTTTCCTAATTTTTTTCTCCCCAAAATTACTTATTTTATTGTTCTTCCTTTATTTTTGAAGAAATTTATTTTTTCAAGTGAAATTCTTAAATAAGATCTTCAGATTAAACCGCAGGTTTAGTCCGAAACGATATTTACCAGCAACTGTACTTTATTACGCCAACAATGAGACACAGTGCTAAATGCTCACACCTAAAATAATGCTAAACTGAAGAAATTAGACTTGAAAAAGATAAAGATGCAGAGAAATCTGCAGTTGATCACATGCATCCTGTCTCCGTTTCGGTTTGAACAGAAAGGTTTACCCAGACGTGACGTCTGCTTCCTCTTGATTTCTGTCAGTTTGGGGATGGGGAAGGGCCCGTAGCACTGTGTGAAAATGACTGACAGCTGCTGGCCTATCACCTCATTCTGAAACACACACACACACACACACACACACACACACACACACACACACACACACACACACACACACACACACACACACACACACACACACACACACACACACACACACACACACACACACACACACACACCAGAGAGGTCCAAAACCTTTTAGAGTTAGAGTTTCATGGCCTTTGTTTTCCTTGAGACTTTGGAGGAAAAATGTTATGTAAATAAATGATAATATAGTTAGAAGTGAAGCTAATAAATGCAAATATGAGCATCAATGTCAAGTGTTTTGTTCACATGATATAAAAGCGACCTTGCTGGTTCGGAGGATCTGGAACATGAGCGGCAGGCCGTGCGTGATCAGCTCCTCCGTGTACTCATCCTCCTTGATGCAGCTGAAGTCCTTGAGCAGACCCTGGATCAGCGGCCGGCGGTTCTGGATGAAGCAGGTGCGCAGAGACTCGAGCCAGGTGTGCAATGTCCAGGGAACACCTGGGAAGCACAACAAACACACGGACAGTAAATATACACTAGCTCCAGGCAAAAAGAGGGTGGCAGGAGACAGAACCGACCATTTTTTTTTATTGTTGCATGGTTTTACTGCAAGTTGGGGGGGTGATCAGTGAATGTTGGATACGTGGAAAGTCGGAAGTGGCAGTGTGGAAACAAGAAGAGCATCTGAAGGTAATGAAAAATGCTGTAAGAAAATAGCTGTGGTGCTTGGTGGATTTGAGAAACATGCATAAATCAGTGCAGATGATGTTTCTTTTTCCACGACTGCTAAAGGAATGAAGACATTTTCTAAACGTATCTCATCTTTCTACACCTGCTTATCCTTGCAGGGTCACAGGGGACTGCTGCCTATGAAAAGCAACCTTTGGGAAACAGGTAGGTACACCCTGGACAAGCGTCCATCACAGGACAACACACACACACACACACACACACACACACACGCACGCACGCACGCACGCACGCACGCACACACACACACACACACACACACACACACATCCGAGGTCGAACTAAAGGGGCTAATTAACCTAACCATCATTATTTTGGACTGTGGGAGAAAGCTGGAGGATCCGGAGAGAACCCACACATGCACGGGGAGAACATGCAAACTCAGACCAGGCCTCGAACCCAGGACCTCTTTGCTGCAAGGCAACAGCGAATCGCTGCGCTACTGCGCAGCCCTAGTTTGTCAAATTTTATTTTAAAAAGGCCATTAGACTTTTTGCTTTGATGCATTTAAGATCCGTAAACTATATTTTGACATTAAGTTAATTTAAAAATTATTCTCAGATTAAATTAAAATTAATTAAAGGGTTTTTTTTATCTAAAAAAAATAAAAAATTACAATATTGTGAAGCTGCAAGTTAAAAAATGACTCACAGAACTTGACTTTTCAATGAATTAATATTGGAATATGTGTTGTGGAATAATAAGAAAATTTGGTGAATTGATTTATTTATCTATTCTTCCTTTAAATAAAAACTTAACTTTAAGATTTAGTTTATCTACGAAACATGGCAGTGGTAGTATCATGGTTTGGACCAGCTGTGAAACAGTCAAATTAAGACGGACAAGTTATGTGTTAAACTTCATTTTGTTTTTTGTCAAATGATAAAGGAAAATATTTCTTAAGCTATGCTGCTGGCATGTGAGTGTTTCATTTGAGGGTCATAATGCTATGTTACTTTTTAAAAACAACAGAATTGTCTCTGATATATTGCGGATTAAATGCTAAACTTAAAAAAAAACAAATTATTGTGATTTTTCTCAATTATAAAGTGCCACTTGATTTATTTGTTGTTTGGATATAAGAACGGAAATGATTGTTTTAACATCTAATATTAATAAATCTTGAGCAAAGATGTGAAAAGATGCGAAACAACTCAGTACAAATAGATTTATTGAGTTTTAGTACTTAAGTAGTTTGTATAGGTGAAGACATTCTAGCTTTCCTGATATCTGCACCAACAATGTTGCTAACGCTAATTTAAAAATCAGTAATTTTCAAGTAGTAGTTTGTTTTATGAAAATATCTACAATGAGCTTTGTAGTTATGTTTTGTCTCCAGTAGAGGGCGAAAAATTCTTACTCTCCAAAACCACAGCCTGACCCAAACAAATTCTTGTTATCTGAATCTGATGCCCTGGTAGCCTTGAGCTGCAAGTAACTAAAACCCCCACGAAGGAATGCAGACAAATGCTGTGAACCCCCCCCCCCCTACGCCTTGGGATTGGTGGACTTCAGGCTGGCATCAGCTGTAGGAGTCAATGTGCTCTTTGCTTCTCCCGAGATCTCCCTCCCACCTGTGCCTGTACAGCAGATGAGTGCCTCAGATGGCTGCTCTCGCTGGGGGAAACCATCGACATATAAATATTGGACAATGGGTTTCCAAAGGCGCCAATAACAAGTTTTTGAGGCCAAATGGGAGGTGGCCACCACCGCCATTTTGACCGTGTCACAGGTTTCGTCAAGCCCAGACAATTCCACAAAAAGGGAAGAGAGGTGGAGCCGAGGGTGGGGCTGTAAGGCTGGGATCAACTGACGACACCCGGTTGAACTAGGTACAAGCTAACCTGAAGCTAATCCAAAGCTAATGCGGAGGTGGGAGCTAAGCTAACAGAGGTAGCTACCTAGCTACAACAGGAGTTAACTGTGCACAACACCGGAGCTTCTGAGTCAGAGATACGCCGGGCTGACCGCTGGGTAAAACCGGGTGGAACACAGAGGTCTCCGAGACCTCCACAAGCACTGACGGAACAGTTTTAAGGCGAGGCCGAGGCTCAGGCTGAGGCCTTTCCCCGGAGCTAGCTCTGTGTTCACGTGGGTCTGATGCTCATTAATTATACAGAATTTTAGGCTTTTAATACACTTAAACGGAAGATTGAGAAAATAATTCACCCCCCTCGGAGTTGTCATGAGTTTAAACTAGATCATTTAAACCAAAAACATGTTTTGGTACCAGGCTGTAAACATGCTTATTTCTGCTGTGAAATTGGTATTTTTAACATTTTTTTGCACAGCAAAGCTACGCCATGTCGGGAGTAACTCTGGAATGCCTTTTTTTCCCTCCCCCAATTTATCCTCGTGTAATCCCCTTTTCATCTAAATGAAATGAGCGCCATTCATAGCTGCTCTCGAGGTCTGCCTGTATCTGTTTTGTCTACATGTGTGTGTGTGTAATCTTGGTCAGGCTGTGCTGCGGAGTCAAATTCCTATTCTTCGGGACGCTGGAGCACTGGCAATAAAGCATTTATGATTCTGATTCTGATAAAGCAATGAGTGATCGTGTTTCCATCCATTTGATCTAAATAAAACATATAAATTCCCTATAGACCAAGTATGTGATCATCAATCAAATCAAAAGATATATTACAAGTAATAAAGTCTACAGTTTATTTAGACAAAGAATGGACAGTAAAAGAGAAACTGAATTTATATTCTGTTACTGGTTACTTTTACTGTATTTTGTTGTTATTTAATCTATTTGAGTGGTTTATACATTTATTAAGTAATCTAAATACATCAAAGTTAGGTATTTATTGGTCTAACTAATAAATAAAGTTGAACTAATAACTAATAGTTTTATATCTAATATGCTTGACTAGAAACAACAAACCCATGGTGGTAAAATTTCTACCAAAATCTATTTATTTTATAATACCTACTGATAACCTAAATGATTTTTTAATCACTAGGAATTTACCGTTGATTTAGATTCGCTGTGTGGCCGCAAGAGGGCGTATGATCTGATGTGTTTGTAGCGCTGTTTGGTTCAGAACTTTATTGATCTGCAGCTTAGCTAACAGCACAGCAGCCTCTGGTGGTCACGCGGCAAAACTAAAATCTATGGTAGATTTCTAGGGATTTTTACTGAGTTAAGCCTTGCTACTAACCACTTTTCGAAGAGAAGCGACTTATTAATTGCTGGAAAATGTTTATCGTAAAAACAGTAGGAGTTATATGTTTTTTCTTATCCTCGGTAAAGATTGCTAATGTTAACTATGCTAATAGCTAAGCTAACCGCATGGCTAACTTGTTAGCTTGGGTTCAACCTTTCTTGTAATGCATTGTGTTTAACATATATGGTTTAAATTTATCATGCAATATGCATAAAGGCACAACCGACATAAAAACAGAGCTAATGATACATAAACAAAAATTAAATGAAGATGTAACAGAAGTTGGTTAACTTTTTTGATTTCCTAGTTGTAAAGGGCAATTCCAATCAATTTTTCCAATTCCTGAGCATCTTTAATCTGTTTTAATTTTAACATTACAATACTTGGACTCTTCAAACCTGGGTTAGATTATTCTATACTAATTCAAAGTCCTTAAAACATAGTTTGTGATTTGTGAAAGTTCAAAGAAGGCAAATTTCAGCATTTTCTTTGTATCCAGACCACACTGGAACTGGTCCAGCTTTAAATTAGGCAGGCAAAGTTATTCTATCCACCAATGAGGGGATCTCCAGGAAGGGGTCCAACTGTACCCATCTCAACAAGTTTACATATAGTGAAAATGTTCTAAATGTTTTGATGCACATTTCAGAAAGTGAAATTACACAGGGTGAAGTATTTCAAGTGTATATTTCTAGTAATTTTGATGGTAAGCTGTGGGGAAGATGGCTGACCGGACACATATCCAGTTATTTACACTGTCCGCTAGGAAGGGAGGCAACCAAAATCAGTTATAAGGAAGCTGCTGTTCATTACAGATGAAATTTGTGTGTTTAAACATCAATAACCATCTCAGATTTTACAGTCAAGATTGTACTTTGTCCATTTGTGTTTTTTAGGTTCACCACAGCAATGGCAACTTGTTCCAATCAATGAGAAGTGCTTTAAACTGCAGTTTTTAACATAAATATGTCTGTTTAGTATTTTAACCTGTTGTGATTATCTGCACAGCGTCTCTCATTGATTCATTTTTATTTAGTTGTTAAAATGTCTGTTTCAGCTATATTTAAAATATTCTGTTTATAACTACAATTAAACAGTCGGTTATAATTTCATAGGAATCTCTAAGGAGCAAAGACATAAATAAAAACTGTTCATTTAAGGTTCTGCTCTCCTGACTGACTGGTTCCTGTGATGGGCGAGCCCAGGCTGGTGAAAGAGAAGGGAGACCGTGGGACTCTTCATAGCTGGTGACCGATTCGTCCATTCATTTGGATCCCAGGTAAGAATCAACACTTGCTCTTAGCTGTATCCATGTGGAAGTAAAGACACGTACGCTCAGCTGCTCTAAAACTAAAGCACCTGTTCAGGCGGAAATGAACAGAAAGCCGTTTGAGCGTAAAGTCTTCATTTTCAAAGAGCTGTATTTTGTTTCCTTTCCACAAAATTGCAAGTTGTAAAAGTCACGATAACTTGTCTTTAGTGCTGGACAATGAAATGATCACAATCAGAAAAATAGGTAAATAAAGGTGTGTGTGTGTGTGTGTGTAAGTGTGCGTGTGTGTGTGAAGTGTGGGATACAGATGGGAGAGGGCAACATTCAAACTGAGATCCAAGATTTCAGAAGCAAAATTTCACGGAAGTTTTATTGGTGATAAAATAGGTGTCAACCCGAATGTGGAGAGGACCTGAGCTTGCGTTATCCCTGACTTCAGCAAAGTTCCACCTGAAAACGTGTCAGCAGAAGAGAGGCGTGACTTTGTGAAGAATGGAGATGGAGATGTAAAAACGAATAAGCGATGCCGGTTTGCTTTAAAATAATCCAGTGAAGATCACCAGTGTATGATGGTGCTTGTCCATGTAAGGCCCTATAGACCAGAACCAGGATCTTGAAAGGAACCCTGAAGTTGACTGGCAGCCAGTGAAGCTGGAGAAGAAGCGGGGTGATGTGGGTGTGTTTGGAGAACTTGGTCAGAAGCCGAGCACAGGCGTTCTGAACCACCTGTAGACGGTTCAGGGAGGTTGTGCTCAGACACGTGAAAAGAGAGTTACAGTAATCTAAGCGTGAGGAGAGGAAGGTGTGGAGAACTGTCTCAAGTTCAGAGCGGGACAGAATGGGACTCAGCTTAGCAATGTTTCTGTGATGGAAGAAGGAAGAGCAAACAAGAGAACTGACAAGAGAATCCAGGGTGAGAGCTGGGTCAAAGGTCATGCCAAGATTCCTGACGGAAGGTTTGGTGTGAGAAGCAAGCTGACCAAGAGAGTCTCTGACTTTGGGAACCAGCTTGTCTGGGGCACAGATGAGGATCTCAGTCTTATCTTCATTCAGCTGAAGAAAGCTCCCAGCCATCCAGGTGTTGATAGAGTCTAAGCAGGTGTGTAACAGCTGCAGCTTAGACATCTCATGGGGCTTAAAGGAGAATGTACAGTTGGATGTCATCTGCATAAAGATGGTAGGAGATTCCTTTGAAGGAGCTCAGGATGTGCTGAAGAGGAAGCAGATAGAGGAGGAAGAGCAGGGGCCCCAGCACAGAACCTTGTGGGACACCTTCAGTAAGAGAGGTGGTAGAGGACCTAAACTTGGAGACGGACACAGGATGGAGCTCAGTCCCTGAACGAGCCGAGGCGACGTCGTGCTCTGCTTGAGAAGAGGTGTTATTTTCCTGCTTCAGAAGAAGCGTCTAACGTGTTTTTACGCTTTCTCCGAGACATGTCACGTCGCTAAGTTGTTAGCGCCGCGCGCTAACACGTCAATAGTGCAACGTAGCCTGCTGGAGGTTTTAAGGGTTCAGATGAAAACACTCGACCTCTCAGGCTGCTCACACATCGATCTTAAGTTGTCGCTGTTGCGCTCACGCCGTAATACAGTATTAGATGCGGTTGAAGTCAGACATGAAAAAATAAATACATTTTACATGAATAAGTGATGCTTAGCCTGGTGGGGGAGGAAACCTGGCCTAATAAGCACTGGAGGAAACCCTGTCAATATCGTCAACACTCGTTTATCTTAATGCTACTGAAACATGTAAACCACAAAGCATTATATCCACTGCTATCTTTCTAATTTTAAACTCACTAACTTATGCTGTAACTTCACCTTGCCCTGTCTGCCCCTCCTTGCTGCCGCCGGCTGTGATCACAAGCGACAACATAGCAGCTCCCGCTGCTTCTTCGGGAAACAGCGCAAAAAACAAAACAAACAAAAAAAACTTGGGATCTTGTAGGCGTGGCGGTGAGACTTCAGCCGTGGCGGCCCGCCACGGCTACGACTATGTAAGGAAAACCCTGGGAAAGCTGAAGGAGTCCATGAGGCTGGAGAAATTCATGGCAAAGTGGTCTGAGGGATCATCAACGTGGATGTCAAAGTCACCAACAATCACCACCAGTCTGGACAGCTTCACAGTGGAGGATAGAAAATAACTAAACTCTTGAAGGAAAGAACTGTTTGGACCAGGTGGACGATAGACCACAGCACAGTAGAACGGGTCCTTACGCCCGACTTTATTCGGCGTCAGTTCAAAGGAAGCAACGTGACCAGAGGTTGTAGAGCTACATGGAAGATGGTCTCTGAAAACAACAGCTAGGCCTTCACCATGACCAAAACCCCGGGGCTGGCTAAGAAAAGTATAACCACTCGGACAGAGTTCAATCAGACCAGAATAATCAGATGTTTGCTGCCAAACTTCAGTCAGAAACAGAAAATCCAGGTTTTTAGAGAGAATTAGATCATTGAGCAGGAAGGACTTATTGTTAACAGAGCGGGTATTTAATAGAGCCATGCTGAGTGAGGTGGAGGAATCAGAAACTACAGAAACAGCTGGAGTTAGTGGACGTAAATTAGCAGGGTTAGATCCACGGTGTTTATAAAAACCACTCATGGAGGGAACAGGAGAGGAAACCACTGAGGAATGAGGATAAACCGACCTTTAAAAACTTGGACGGAGAAACCGCGCCACAACGCGGCTTGGCGGGTATGCGGAAGTGGCGCTCAAGTCGCCAAACAATGGACAAGAAGCTAGAAGATCACGCTGATGTTTACTAGATGAACCACACTTTAAGAGAAGTCTTATTCTCACCTGGATTCCTGCTCGTTTGCCTATTTTCCTCCGACGTTTTCCCGGGACCGTATAAACATCCCTGGAGGTTCCCTGGTTGGAATCGTCGTTTGGCTCCGGGCCAGTGCGCCGCTCAGGTAAACAAAGAGGGAGGTACGTCCTCTGTGCATCTTGGGCGATTGTGAATGAACGGATGGATAAAAGATTCTGGCGATCATAGGAGATGGTAGCGGGGACACTACTGAAGAGGATCGCAGACAGAAGCAAGGTGGAAAAGAGGAGGTTAGTGGAGAAGAGTTTGAAAAAGTGGCCGGTGACCTTGGCTAAGCCAAGCACAGGCGCCATCTTGTTGCCGACCGGAAGCAAACTGAACACAGAATCCAGTTAATCCAGCATGTACGTGTTTGATCAGAGAAAACCTGTAGAAAACCGACACATGCCTGAGGAGAACATGTTAACGCCACCCGGAAAGGCTCCAGGCTCTTCTTGCTGTGAGGCTGTAGTGGTACTGCACCACCATGCAGCCCTGAACCAGTTCTAACATAAAACCATATTTTAACTATTTTTTATGTGATAAATATGAACATTTGGTTGGATTTCTTTTTCATGTGCAAACCTGTTTCCTAAAGGAAGTTGTGCTTGTTTCCTCTCATTTTATACATTTAAACGAGAGACTTCACAAAAACACTGCTCATAAGTTAATTATGTGAATCCCAGGTAGGTTTTAGTGATTTCAGGAGTAGGAGAGCTACACAAAACAAAAGCAGATGTTTGCCACATTGAAATAAAATGAGGATGCAGCTCCGTCTTTTCAGTCAGACTGTTAGAGCTTTAGAGTGATGTGATCTGTGATGGTTTCATGGTTGGATGAGGGTGGAAACAGGACTGGACAGGAAGAGACAGGACAGGCACAGCATGAGCACATCTGCAGGACAGCTGGAGGCACCACAGAGCGAGGCATGTGTGCCACTGAGGCATGCATTAGTAAGTCTGACCTAAGCTGCGGATGTCAATGGTGATGTCCACATGGCCATGCTCTGCGCTATGGTACATGGCCTCTCTCAGGGCCCTCAGTCTGGCCTTTCCTGTTCGCAGCGTCCCGCCACAGTTGGCCTGAGGAGCCAATCTCTTCTCACCGGGATCCGAACCCTCAGCCAGGATCTCCTCCAGGGACAACACGTCCCCCTTGTCCTTCTCTGTGTGGGACAGGAGCTTCCGAAATACGTTTCTAAGAAAGGAAAAATTAGGATTAAAGAACACCATAGACTGATTTGATTGAAAAAAAATTGAAAGAGGCTGTGAATCATCGTGCTTTCAAACAGGAGCTCTGAGATTAAAGGCAAACCCCTCCAGATGTGTGAGCGGCGTGTAACATAATAGAGGGGTGTTACCCGCGAGCTTTCTTCCAAACGAGAGCGTTTCAGATGTCCAGTGGGAGTGAATGCGTTCCACATGGCTGATCCCGCAAGGTCATAAAATGACGAGAGACTTGCAACACCACGCCTGATTCCAGAAGTTCACAAGATAACATGCAAGGAGAACGACGTACGTTTTTACTTAAGCAACTAGAAATCTGTACATGACTTTTATTTCGAAGGTTTCCGGATGTTTTACACTGATTTTGTATTTAACTTCCTGTCTGGCCTGATCTGAACTGCGGACTTTGACATGTTTTGGAAGTGGAGTGCATAAAAAATAGACTCAAAACTTAAACTTGTGGTCGGTCCACAAAAATAAACAATCAACGAACAGGGTTCTGCTTCTAGACCTGCAGAAAAGGGAAACACAACAATAAAACAAGAGCAAGCTATCACTGCGTCAACCTGAGGAGGACATATAAAATCAACATTGTTTAACTGAACAATCACACGATAATAAATCACATTGCATTTTGTGCCAACCACAGCTTTAATACATGTGTTGAAAATGCCCAAGTCCATACTTATGAGAGCACCATGTGAGCACCTGTGTGTGTACACGCGCTTGTATATGTAAGGTTTCTCTATAGGAGCGTCCAATAGAGAGTGTGAGGGGCCACAGATCTGACCCCAAAGATGTGTAGGAGATTGAGGGAGCTCCAAGTCCCAGAGATCCAGGAGCTGCCCCAGAGCGCAGGGACCCCAGGGAGACTGCAACCAGAAAAGCCCCTGCCCCTTTCGAGAGGCACAGAGGATCACCCCGTGGGGCCACAACCAGCAGCCGGCAGAGTCCCGGGAGGCATCAGTGGCAAGCCCACAGGCCCGCCCGCAGCCTCCCACCCCCTAGCCGGCCGAGCCCGGGACCCAGCAACCCGATACCTACGGGTGACCACCACCACCGGGGACCCAGCAGAGCCAAGGGACCCAGATCCCACCAGGCAGCCACCAGGATCGATCAGGCAGACGTCAAAGATCTTAAAGCCCCTGACCCGGGAGCCACGAACACTCAGGCAGACCAAGGCACAACCCCTCACACCATGTGTGGCAGGGGGAGGGGAGACGAAGATGTATAGCATCAAAAGAAGTCCCAGGAGAAGGGAGGAGTCAAAGGCCCCACTTGACGTATACAGTCATACACAGACACAGTCACACTCCCTCCCTCATGCTCACACACACACATACAACCAAAGACTTACAAAAATGCATGCTAGACACCCACTCATGCTCCCCATACACACCTTATTCACTCTGGTCCCGGTACTGCTGCACATGGGGCACAACCGTCACCGGTTCCCAGAGTTCGACCCTTTCTGCTGGGGTGCTGATGAGCAGGCTCCCCCCGCCCAACACTGAGCAAAGCAACCCACCACACACAGATGTCTTAATGGTAGCTGAATTGATTTTAACACATAGCAGATCCAGTGTGATCACAGGTTGATAACGCATGGCCGCATCATCTGCTTTATGAGGAGGAGATTGTTTCCAGTGCTGCAGCATGTCACTTAAAAAGCTAAACGTTATCACCTTAAAGCATCACTAAACGGTTGTTTTAGCACAACGACGCATCTTTTGGGTCTATTTCTGTCATTTAGCAACTGGTTTGAGGCTTTTGTAAAAAAAATGTTGTTATAAAATACTATTTGGATACGTAGTAGTGAGATGTACTATCAATATTTGGACAGTGAGGTCTTCTCTTGCGGTAGGCTGTTCGGTTCGTCCCAAAGGTGTCGGATGGGGTTAAGGTCAGGGCTCGGTTCTGGCAAGTCAAGTTCTGCCACACAGAAATGGATAAAAACTTCACTTTCTTGACCTAACTTAATGGGAAAAGGTTCTACTGCTTTTCTTTGATGCTTCTGAGCTTTATTCTTGTTTTACTTGAGCTCTTCACACACATCTGGTCTAATCTGCCAATAGCCATTCATATCCAGTGATGGGAATACAGGTTTTTTCAGTAACGAGTAATCTAATTAATTGCAGTCTTCTTTTATCATAACACCGTTATGATAAAACACCGTTATTGATGAGAAAATGCGTGCGTTACTAATTCAGCAGCGTGGTGTGTTGAAGCCGTCTTCAGCTGATCGGGAGCTAAAGAGGCGGATGTTTTCATCAAAGTGCATCTCGGCCGTGAAGAACGAGTAAGACGTGATGAAATAGTTACAGCTGCAGACCCGCAGATTTGCTGCAGCAGGCGAGAATCTGCAGCCGTGCCCTTCTTAGCGTGACAGCTGGACGTCCCAAAGGTCCGATCACCTGTTCAGCGCTCAGACGTCATGACCTTCTACCTTCCTAGATCATCCAACTGTAACCTGTTCCTGATCATTCTTTAGTCCCGCTGTAATGCTGGTTGCATCAGTCTCAAATGTCATGGGCGCTCAGGTGTTAATAGAACTACCTGTGTGTGTTTACCAACCAGCTTCAGCTCTTCTGTGTTTGGGTCTGACCCAAGTTAGTACATTTAAGTCCTCCATCAGATTTGTGCCTCTTCTAGTGTCATTTTAAACTATTTTTATTTATTTATTTAACCATTACTAGATAATAGAAATGCTGCTAAAAACACAAAATTACGTGAAGCTGGAAAAATTAGAACGCTGTGCAAAATTACATTAATTTCAGTGATTTAACAAGACTGAGAGACCATTTAAAGGCTCAGGAACACTTACAGGTGTTTCTATTTGCAATTATAAATGTTAGCTGATTGGGGTCTTATTAAATATCACACAGTGACATTTTAATAGACTAGTGTAATGTTCCTGTTTGTAGTTCCTCCTGTTAAGTGCCCATTTATTTCAATTATTTAATTTTATTTAAAAACATACATTTTATTATGTCCCAGTCATTAGTCTTTTTTATTTCAGTATTGTAGTAATTTATAGTAAATTAAGTTTACTTAAGAGGAAAACCCATTTTTCTTGCATTCTTTAATGAAAAGAAGAAACAAAATATTTATTTTTCTTGGTAATTAGTTACTTTTATAATCTTGTAACTCTGTAAGTAACTTACTTTTTTGACAAAGTAATCAGTAACTATAACTAATTACTTTTTTAAAGTAATGTTCCCAACACTGTTCATATCAAATCCTGCAATTGTTCCCAGTTTTTAAGATTTGCTTTTCCCTTCCAGGTAGGACTGGGCGATATATTGATATTTTTAAAATATCGATATAAGTTTTAAACAAGATACAAGATGACTTTATATCTTTATATCGATATAACTGGCCAAACTGCTATGCTACTGATTAGCCGCTATGTTTGCGACATGTTGCTCCGTCTCTAAGCAGTTAGTACATGTATTCTCACGTTAGCTCAATCTGAATGTAATAAAGTGTAATTATAGTTTAAAGCAGTATTTACTGGGAATGATTAATAAAATGAAAACTAGAATTGAACCTGAGTTATATAGTAATAACCGTTTAAGAACTCAGAAACAATAATCAGGGTGTCCACGGGGTTTTAAAAAGTATTAAAAAGTGATAAATAAAAATAGTCAAATTTAAGGCCATTAAAAGTGTAAAATTTGGTCTCAGAGGTATTATTTTTTCCAAATTAGGTATTATTTTTTCAGACTATCAGATGTTGTATTCTGAACATCGACATAGAAATATATTCCGAATGAAATGTTATGAACGATTATAAAAATAAAACAAGCCGATTATTTGCTCCTCCCACTTGCGCTGCCCTGAGTTGCAAATGAAGCGCTCCTCCACAGTGTTGCCAACTTGGCGACTTTGACGCTATTTCTAGCAGCTTCTCAGACCCCCTTCTTGACTTTTTAAATCTTAAAAGTACCTAGCGAACACCTCAAACATCTCTGGTAACCCTTAGCTACTTTCTGGATAACTGTCGTCGACATTTCCTGCAGGTTAGCTAAACACTCCGCCTGCGCTCCGGACCGTTCTTCAGGACATTAGGAAAGGGAATGATGTAGTGATGTGTCAGTCGCTAAAGAAACGGCTCTCAGAGCCAGCTTCCTGTTGGATTAACCAGAGAGAGTGACACACACACCGCACCTGCGGACTCCTGAGCCGATAAAAACGGCTAAATGTGCGCGCGCGGCATGCTAAACACACGTGCAGCTTGCCCCTGATTGCTGTGCAGCAGGACCGGGTTGGGGGGTGGGGGGTGCACCTGTGGTTGGGACAATTATTACATTAACTGATGGACTTGTAAATAAATAGTTTATAAATAAGGTAGAAATAAGTTCCTCACGCTGATAAATAATTAATCTCTCTGAGGACACGGTGCTAGTGCACTCTCCTACAGCACCTTGACATGACTAAATAAATGTTATGCAAAATTTAGTGAACATCAATTTGCATGTATTTGTTATAAATGCCACTGTATAATTCTTGCTGTCAGTATTTGCAAGATATTGGTATTTGGGTCTGTACTGGTTAGACTTAAATGAGTTAAACCAAGGTCTATAGCCCTTGGGTCATTTGCTATAAGTATATTGGTCTTTTTATACTGGGAATCAGGAGTTAATTTAGTGATCATCTTGTTTCTTGTTTATTTTTGCCCTGATTGTGCCCTGAGCAGTTTTATGACTGAATAAAAACAACAAAAAATCTACATAAATTGAAAAATCATCTTAAATAATCGAGATCTCAATTTCAGTCACAATAATCGTGATTATTGTTTTCGCCATAATCGAGCAGCCCTACTTTAGCATATCCGGTCACATAATGATGACGTCATATTCAGTGGTCGTTGTGCATCATTTCAGGCCTCGTGGTCAACTGTCTGAACCGCTGAACAGAAGTGCCTGGCTTATTTTCTAAGTAAAATAAATATGTGCAATACGTTGTCAA